TTTAGTGGAAACAGTCCAGGTCAAGTTTTATACTGCGTCTTTATTTCTTATGTTCGTCGTGGTTGTCTTTCATTACACTTAAAAATCTATATTTGCATGTCTCATCTCTGTTTTTTTTTTATCCTCTAAACCTTTTGAGCCCCAGCAGTCACTGTCCACTAAGACGACCAGTAATGATTAGTTTTGTTATCAATTAAACAATTAAAATGTCCATTATTTCTTCAATTGATCACAAGTTCTGAAAGACCGAGGCGATGTCTTCAGAGGTCCTGTTTTGTTTGGCCGATCGTCCAAAATCTCTCTTAAAACATAGAAAAGCAGCAAATCCTCTTATTTGAGAATCTGGGAGCAGCAGATATTTCATTGTTTGCCACATGGAGGGAAAAAAAAAGCTTTAAACTCGCACACACAGAGAACCAAAAGCTGTTCAAGTGTTCAATCAAAACCACAGCAAACCACACTGGCTCCAACGCCGCCACCGACTCACCAGCCTGAGACAGGCCGAGAGGAGCGGCCGTCCTCAGCTCCGCCAGCCTGCTGGGGATCAGATTGTGTTGGCTGGTGACGCTGTTGGACCAACCTAAACAAAGCGGCCACAAACACTGAGACAGCAGCAGACAGATCGAAGCTGCTGGATGAGAACCTTAAACGCCCCAAAAAAGTCTCGAAAGCCAAATCATCCCCAAGAGTTTGTTCTTGTATTCTGGCTTTACACTTTAATCCCTCAGCTACCTGGGACACACATTATTTTTAGGCTAATAATGTTTTTTTAATCAAACGTTTCTTACGTATTGTTTGTTCAGCATTTTCCCGATGCTGTAAAACACTCAAATGGGCCAGATTTCAAAATTACAATATTACACTTGTTTTTTGTCATGTTCTGTCCCATTACAACCAAACACAGTATAAAAACCTGCACCAGCATCAGTATGCTAACAGTTAACCATCATGCTACAGAGAAGGAGGTTTACTCCTCTGTATCCGGCAACCATGGTGGTGAAAGTGCTCAGTAGACATGTTATAGGCTGCGATAATTGTCCCCTTTTCCTGACAAACATGCATGTTTCCTCTGCGCTCTGACAGCGGCCTGGCAGATATTGCTCAAGCT